TGAAGGACCTCGTGGTTGATCTAGAGCAGGCCCTCTTTAGCTCTCCTTCAGGGTTCCTGGACTAATTCCTACTGGGGGTTGTTCTAAGGGAGGGCTAGAAGAACCCTGCAGGGACTAGGGGACAACACTTCAGAATTCTATTTAATTCTAGCAAAGAATATAATGAAGAGATTGTCATAGCTCAACAACCAACCTCCCTGCCAGAAAGATCACGGCGTGGAGACTGCCTCGAGTGAGCAAGCTTCTGTTTGGAGTATGTACTGGGGATTGAGCTCAGATGAACCCTAGGGTTGGCTCGTGCTAGGGGAGAACCAGCCTCTTCCTCTGCTCACAGGCTCTGGAGATGCCGGGGCAGTTATGAGTAGTTATGAGCCAAATCTGTGTACCACCTTGGACCCCAATGAAAGTCACAAAGGATTTTTCTTTCCTGTAGCAGAGACAAAAACATAGGAGACAGAAGAGGAATAGCTATTGGAGAATGCAGCAGCCACTTCTGTGGCAGAACCTTCCAGCAATCCAGGGAGACTTCTAATCTTCCAAACACAAGATCTGCATCTACTGTCTCTGGGATTAAGATAAAGAATTCTCTTCTCTAGCTGTGTCTGAGTATCTGAGTTCTGATTTCTGCAACCCAGCAAGTCTGCAGAAAGACGGTGAACCATGATGTGTCCCTGAACTGACAGAAGCACTAAATCTGGCTTCAGGTAGGTCTGGGATGAAAGGATCTGAGGATTCAGAGACCCCTTAATTCATGTCAAATCCAAGCAGGAGCACAGGTTCTGGCCAGAGTATGAGACTTTTGACCCAGAATTCAGGAACACTTGCTGCTTTTTGAAGGGTGAAAGAATTCCTCTGCCACAGCAAAATCTAATCACATCCATTCAAAAAAGTCCAGGCTGTAGTCTTCTCAGGTTTCAGGGTACCATTCCTAACATAGCTGACAAAGGAGGGTGGGAGGTATGAATTAAAGGTGCACACCCTCAACCCTTGTCTCTGCACCTGTCTTGGCAGTGTGTGTGTGTGTTGTGTGTGTGTGTGTGTGTGTGTGTGTGTGTTTAAAAACTGGAGATATTGATAAAATGGGAGCTTGGAGAAGTTCAATATTCAAGATATTTTGAGATATGCTACCTAAGCAGATCGGGCAGCTCTTCGCTGCTGAACGTGTGAGAGTTGTTCCTATGTTTCTGGTGCTCTGAATCGTGCAGAAATGTACAGAGAGAGAATTTCCAGAGCTCAATCGTCAGAGAGCTCAGTACGTATCCTATCATCCTCATTGTGGCCATCATACCTTCCACACTCTTGTGATCTGGTGTTTCCTCACCCAGAGAAGGTGGTGAGCAAAAAGTATCCTTATCTGAGTGAGCGAAGAATATCATTATTGAACCTCAATTCCCGTAAGGCTGCAGGCGCCAGTAACAGTAAAGAAAAAGACCTTAGCGCTTTCAGGAAGTACTAATCCTAGACTAGAAACGGCCCCTTCCCCATATCGAGGCTGTCAGCCGCACCAAGCCGGAATCCAGGTCCCCAGGACAAGGAAGGGAGGAGGCTGAGGGCCAGAAGCCCGGTCCTGGGCTCTGAAAGTCAGCGCCTGAGGATGGACTTCTCTAGGGTGGATGCTGGAACGAAGGTCTTGATAAAACCACGCCCCCTGTGACGTCATGTAGAAGTAGGCGGGTCTCCCTTTGTTGCGGCCCAATGAGAAGCAGATTCTGGGCGTGGCCAAGGAAAGCCCTAGGAAGTACTTTTTCGGATTTGGCCCTCCAAAGGAGACGTGACTGGAGTTCCTGGTGGAACCGGGACCTCCCGTGACACATATCCCCTTGGAAAAGCTGTCGACTTCACGCAGCCAAACTGTCCCTCACAAAACCTGAGTTACAGTCGTGGGAAATATTAAGGCAGAAGGACGCGGCACCGGTTCCTCACAGTCTGAATGGGATCCTGAGCGAATCCTGGGTTTGAGGGCACAGGTCAAGGATCAAGGTCGGAGAGGGGCTAGTGAGTTAGGGTGCCTCGCGTTTAGGGCGCTTTGGGGCTCCGTTTCCTGAGAAGGTGCACCCTGAAAATAAGAGGTCGTAGCCTTGGGCAAGGGTGGACAGGAGGGACAGGAGGGTGGCTGGGAGTCTTGCATACATTCGTGGGGTCCCCAGGGTAAGGGATCTGGAGTGGACTTTGGTCTTGAGGGAGTTTTGAGAACCTGCGGGAGAGTCTGATATATTGAAGCTGGAAATGGACTTTTCAGCTTGAGGTGCAACAGGGTTTGGGGCTTTGTGTATGTGAGGGTTGATACAGTCAAGGTTTGGAGTTGAGGATCACGTTAATTCGGGCGGGGGCGGGAGCTGTGGATCCCATGGATTGGGAGCTTGGAGAGTCTGCACGAGTTGGGGATCTTGGGTCCTGATGTGGGGAATGGTTGAGAGTGTTCTGATGTCTCAGGATGCAATGAAGACCCTCAATTTGGGGCTTTGTGGATTGGGGATTAATTTCACACTCGAGTTATTTGATGAAGGACACATGTCTTCTTGGTTTGGAGATTTCCTGAACATTCTCCTTTCCCATGGGGGAGACTGAGGATGTGAGGTCCTGGGGGGCATCTCTAAGACAGGCTTTGATTTCTCTCCATTTAGCACCACCTGCTCTTGACCTGGGTGAGAGGACCCTCCTGGTGTTTCCTCTACTGAGTGCTCTGGCTCAATGGGGCTGTGTTTTGCCCTCCCATTGGCTGCACTGGCCAGCTGCCTGCTTCCTGCGGACTGTTGTGTAATATGTGACCAGGCAGTCTTGACAGCACTAAAGTCCTTGAAAGAGAATTACCTACCTGAACACCTGGATATCAAGAGTCACAAAACAGTGATGGAAAGAGCAGAGCAGATCATAGTGGAATTCAAGGATCTTCCGATGAAGGATGGTTCCTTTTTGGGGGCCATAGGTGAGGGCGAGACAGAGTTGAAGTACTAGGGATTATATGGACAGGGTCCAGGAGTGCAGGTGACAGGGGGGTGGGGGGTGAAGGGGCTGAGTCCTGAACTTGGGAATGAAAAAGCTGGGATGCAGATTCCAGAGATCCCGGCAACTAGCAATATTGTTTTTCTGCCCCTTATCTAGCAATTTTATGTAATAAAACAACAACTCTTTGAAAGTAAGGGTGCAGTTGGTTCCTTAACTAGTTCTAGGCTTGCTTGGCGGACTCATGGCTATTCTACTTTGTACAAAGAAAATCTAAGACAGCAAAGGTGGAACATGGGGTTCTATATCCATTCACAGATGAGAGGACACTGGAAAAGGCATCTCGGAGTTTGGTGAAGGCGCTGAAACGCATCACAGACAGTAATGTAAAAGGTTAATGCACTGAAGAGCTGGGAGGGGGGTCCTGAATTTATTACTATCAGTGATGCCTCTCTACTGGTGTGATGCAGGATTTCCTAGGTTCAAATTCTGGCTCTGCCACTTCCTACCTGTGTGGCCCTGAGCAAGAAACTGGGCAGTTTCCTCAGCTCTACACTGGACAGCATCACAGTGCCCTCCTCCCTCAGCTCCTGGGAGGATTAGATGGATTGATTCCTGTGCATTGCTTAGCCCAGTGACTGGCACTGTGTGAAGTACTTGATTTCTGTGCCCCTTCCTGAGAAGGCAGAAAGGGGAATGCCAGCCCTCCAGGTAGCTCGAGCCCCATAGTCCATGGTGCTCTGAGGAAGGAGGATCCCTTGAATCCAGAAGAGCCTGTCCCACCCCAGCAACAACCCAGTAGTGAAATGCCTGCCTAGGTAGACTGTGTCTGATCCTGCACCTGCTGCCTGGGGCAAGGAGAGCACTCAGCACCACCCTGCTTCCTCCCAGGGGACCAATTTGTGAAGCAGCTATACCAGATGTTGGAGAAGGAAAAGGCCAAATTTGCCCAGTATGCTGCTCAGTTCCAGAAGAAAGGTGAGGGAAGATGGGAGCCCTGGCCTGGCCTACTCCATTCCCCTTCTACCACTTGAGCCCCTCTCTCCAGCCCCCTGCGTCTCCAGGCTTCCTCAGTCCCCTCCTCCTGTTGATCCCTGGTGGGGGCGGGGGGAGGGACTTCTCAGGCCCTTCCCCTGGGAACACAAGAACCCGCACCTCAGCTCTTCCCCAGCCCCTCTCCCACCCTTCTTCATTTAAAAATCTGATTCTTTTCTCCCTATCTTTTCTTTCTGAGGCAGATTATTGTCCCAACAAATGTGGTGAGTGCAGACAACAGAAGCTATTCTTCTACCCTCATCCATGGCCCATGATACCCACCCCTCCCTGCCCTCCCCTTTTTGGATGCACATTCGCAGCATCTGAGAGTTTCCTAGGTCTCCAGCCACCTTTCTCTGGCTTGGATTTGCAGGTAGCAGGTGTATTCCGTTTGGACCCTTTACTAACCTTGGAGGGATGACCTCCTAGGGGATTTGGCCCAATAGCCCCCCAGCCCTTCAGTCCTTTGCCTTGCCCTCTCTTTCAGACCTACCTTAGTGGATGAATACAGCCTTGACCTTGCCCCTTCAGGCCTGATGTTGCAGCGTCTGTTATGGTGCCCAGAATGTAGGATAGGAAATTACCATTGTTGGAAGTCCCTGGACTGTGGGGGTGAGTATGGGACCTGACTGGAGGGGTTGGTGGGAGAGGGTTGGGGCCAGAGGAGAGACAGTTTAGAGAGCTCAGAATGCAGACTGCAGACAGGGAAGGGCCTGGCCCAAATAGAGCTGAGACTGTTTGGGGAGGGCAGTGACCCCAGAGGAAGCATCTCACAGTCATGCCCCATCCTCAGAGCGCCTGGTGAAGGTCCATGAAAAGGAAAACCTGACCTTGAACTGTCTATTCGAGTGGCACCTTATTGCTCAAGAACTCACAGACTACAAATTCGAAAGGGTGAGGCCATTCCAACTCCTTTAGCCCTTAAACCCCAAGTCCCTCAGGTGGGTATGAGCCCTTGGCCCCTGGATGCCCTGGCCTGCCCCTAGTCCTCATGGCCTCTTAGGTGAGGTCACTGCTGACCCCCAGGCACCCCAATCCCTGCTCAATGATGCTCTGCACTCCTGTCTCCCTGCACTGAGGTCCCAAGTTCTCCTCAGCCCTCTATTCCCCCAATTCCTGACATTCCCTAGGACCCTGTGATGCCCTTGATTTTGCTTGTAGATTTGGGAGGATGGTTCTGAGACGTTGCTGTATCAGGGAAAGAACCCCATGTTGACCATTCTTTCATTGACTCCAGATAATTCTGGTTCCTACCGCTGTGAACTGGGTTCGGTGAGCTCTGGCCCATCCACGATCATTCATTATCTCGTCACAGGTCAGTCCTGGGTGTGAGAGAAGTGGAGCATTCAGTGCCCAGGGCATGGCGGGGCAGCTGCGGAGGCTTCCCTTCAGGTTGGGTTGAGGTTTCATGCCATGGAGGTGTGGCTTATTGCCTGGGTTATGGATTCTGTCAGCTGGGGCTAGGTTCCCGAGGGCGTTTCTCTAGACAGATTGGGTGTTGGGGAGGGCTTGCTTTCACTTCCTGCCAGGACAGCTCATTGCCCTCTTCTGTCAGTTTTGCCCCCAAATGCTACAGAGGAGTCACCAACAACAAGCATCCTCTTTGGGAGTGAGACAGAGTCAGGGACACAAGGTGCAAATGTCACTGGTGAGACCAGTCCAGCCGTCCCTGGTGGGACAGGCCCAGCTTCCCCAACGGTCCAGGGTGAGACGGGCCCAGGGGTTCAGGGTGAGACAGCCCCACTCCAGGGTGAGACGGGCCCAACAGAACAGGGTGAGATGGGCCCAAACCAGGAAGATACGGGCTCAACAGAACAGGGTGAGACTGCCCCACTCCAGAATGGTATGGGGTCACTGGCCCAAGGTGAGACGGCCCCTCAAGTCCAGGGTGAGACGGCCCCACTCCAGGGTGAGATGACATCTCCAGACCTGGGTGAGACGGCTCCAGTTGAGGCTGAGACAGCTCCACTTGAGGCTGAGACAGCCCCACTTCAGGGTGAGACGACCCAGCCGGCCCAGGGTGAGACGACCCAGTCGGCCCAGGGTGAGACGACCCAGCCGGCCGAGAGTGAGACGACCCAGCTGGCCCAGGGTGAGACGACCCAGCTGGCCCAGGGTGAGACGACCGAGCCATTCCAGGTGGAGACTGCCCCACTGCAGGGTGAGATGGCTCCAGGTGAAGGTGAGATGGCCTCCCAGTTCCAGGGTGAGACAAACCAGGTTGAAACAGCACCACTGGAGGAGGAGACAGCCCCGCCATTCCAGGGAGAGACTGCCCCACTGCAGGGTGAGATGGCTCCAGGTGAAGGTGAGTCGGCCTCCGAGGTCCAGGGTGAGGCAGCTCCACCAAACCAGGATGAAATGGCACCATTCGAAGAGGAGACAGAACTAGGTGATTTTGAAATGGGCCAACCACTCCAGAATGAGATGGCCCCAGGACAGGGTGAGATGACTCCCTCAGAACAGGTGGAGACTGCCCCACTGCAGGGTGAGATGACTCCCCCAGGCCAGGGTGAAACTGCCCAGTTCCAAGGTGAGATGGCCACACCAGTCCAGGGTGAGACATCTGCAGCTCAGGGTGAGACTACCTCACCAATCCAGGCCGGGATGGCCCAACTCCAGAATGGGGCAGCCCTAGTCCAAGATGAGACAGCCCCATTCCTGGGAGAGACGGCCGCACTTGTAGGTGACATGGCTCCACTTGAGGAGACCTCAGTACGCCCGAATCCAGGAGAATTGGAGTCTTCGACCACGAACCAACAGCCTGAGCAGGCCAAGGGTGTGCAGCAAGGCCAAAACCTTGGGCTGATCATCGCTTTACCTCTACTCCTGATACTAGGCCTTATTCTTTGGTGAGTCACTGCAGAGAGTGGCAGGACCTGGAGGGAGAGGTGGGGCTTCCTACTGCCCAATACTGGAGCAGTTGGCAGAGCCACTGAGGTTTCCCGAGAGCTGGTGGGAATTACAGCGTGGGGGGCTTACCTAGGAGGGCCAGGCTTTGAGAGTTGTTTGAATAGGTCAGCTCTGTGGGGCTGGGAGTTGGGGAGTGGGTCCCAACTGCTTTCTACTTAACATGGTTCCATGATTTGCAAATCTCAACCCATTCAATTTCCCTCAGCCTGCTTTACTGGCGAAAATCGAAAGAGAAACAATCTTCATAGCTCAGCCTTTGAAAATTCAGCTTCCTAACCGTCAAAGACAAGGGCTTCAAAAGAGAAAAATAATTAAATACGTGTCTTGTGGTCTAAGTATTTGACTCAATCCTCTTGACTGAATAATACCTTAGGTTCCCC